ACCAAAGATCCAAAGCTAGAGGAGAGCATAACGTTCAACAACCCAGCAGCTGAAAATAAGGAACACAAAACAACAAAATAACAAACCGGCCAGTGGGCACACCAAAACTGAATGGGAGAGAGAAAGGAATATCGCGGGCCAGACACCAAGCAAGCCCATGTGGCACAGAGCAAGCTATAAAGGTGAACAACACCCAAAGCAGCGCATGATATGGAGCCGAGGAAGTGTCGCTCCCAAATGCAAGCTGCAGCTCTGTATGACACAAGGTGACAGTATGCAGCATGAGATGCAGATGCAGAAAAGAGAGATCTGCTCAGAAAATGAAAAATAGCACAGAAGAGTGGTGAATGAATGCCACGAACCCCATACTGCTGCCCCATGGAAGACCAGACGTGGGACACCACCAAAGCCACCAGATCACCAAAAGGTGACAACACACACACATCAAAAGACCAGATAGAGCGAAGGAGAAGGATGAACCAGTGAAGTACATCACTGGTCCAAACTGACCGGGTTCAGACACTAAGCAAGCAGCACATGGCTGGGACAGCCACCAAAAAGCCAGAAGGATCACCATGGCTATGGAGACCCCAACCACGCCAGGACCCAGAGCAACAGCAGACCAGGGGAGAGAATAGAAACCCTTACCGAGACCATTCCAGCCGAAGGCACTACAGCGAGGACCGATCAGATGCTGCAGGAGAAAAAGGTACCAAACTAACACCGAAAGATCCACATCCAAGTGCCAGAACATCCTGCAAAGCCACAGGAGGTGGCAGCGATGGTCAACACCAAGGAGACAGGCAGAAACAGGGACAGACTATCTACAAGGATTCAGGACACACCTGAACATGAACCACATATAGAATTAACCCTAAGAACCAAGCAGAGCAATCCGAAGAATTTAGCTCCAAGAAGGCAGGGTCTAAAGCACACCTTCCCCAGACAAAAACCCTAAGAGAACTGACCAAATGTAGCCAGTCCATGGGGCCAGGGGAATCCAAAAATTTCGCAGTGAATGCCACTCAGCCGCAACAACACCATTGTGCCAGGAGCCCATTGAAGGACACCAATGCTTCTAGCCAACAAGGTGACAGCTGGTCACAAAGTTCGAACCAAGAGCTGAGGTGTCTGTGAAGATGTTGACTGAAGATGGAGGAAGGCCCCCAGGGAACCAAACCCCAAAAAGCCCGGAGAAGAAGCCAGCAAAACAGCAGCTGATGCAGGACCAAATGGCATCTGCACCCAGTGCCATGGAAGAAGTGAAAGGGGCTGAAAGGGGCTGAAAGGGGCAGTGAAAGGGGGGTGAAAGAGGAAAGGGGCTTATCCCAAGCAGCAAAACTGACAGGACTCGGGGTCGAAAGTGTCACCGACGACCCAACAGGCAGCGTGACGGAGGCAAAAAGCGCGAGAGTCGCCCTGAAACAAGGGGGACCCAACAACCCTCAAACTCGCATGAAGCGAGGGGGGGGGGACTCTGTGGTCGCATCCATCGAACCCATGCATCCCCTAGGGGATTCCTAGGGGTCCTGAGCATTTACTATAAGAGAACTCACGCTCGGGTAAACCCAGGCAGGGTACTGCTAACTGGCGTCCAAAACTACCAAACAAACTGTCTACAGCTGAACACCAGGGACGTGTACGCTCACTGGGACCTAGCAGGGGCACCACCAAGTATCAGGATGAGGCCAAACACCAGTGGCAAGTAGGGCAGAACCCCCAAGAGGCAAAAAAAATTAAAAAAATAAAAAAAAAATGCAAGAGGACAACGTACCCCAAGTAAAAGAGCCGGCCGCTGTGATTGGTGACAACAAGCTGCACAGCACCCTGCACCACTCACCAGTGCAAAACTACCTCCTACCTTAAGGTAAACTAGGGAGACAAAACACCCAAGTACCCAAAGGGCGGCCGAAAAACCAAGGAGTTAAATGGACCCACAGAGGCAGGTCCCAAGGAACCTGTGGAAGGTAACCCCAAGCTTCAAGGGCAGTACCTACAGGGAACCTAGGGAAGGGAACCCTAGGCACATGCAGCCCGAGTATTGAAGATTAACTCCTGGCTCTCGCACCCCTGGAGAACAGCCGCCACACACAAGGCACAGCGGCGTAAAAGTCTGGAGCCAGAGCACACAACCGCTGCCTATAGCATCAGCCTCAAGCACTGGGGTGTGGATCACCGGAGCCGTAGGTCTGGGCCTCCCCCTTCCCCCTCCCGTTGAGGGGGGGAGCTGCACAGACAGTGGCACGGCAATGGGTGACATCATACTAGTTTGCTCGTTTTTGTTTGAGGAGTTCTATCCACTTGTTCAGCTTTTGGTAGCAATATTTTCACCAGAATAGGGGTTTGTTTTGGGATGCTTACCTTTCGGGGTGCCTGACTCAGTCGATGGTAGACACCGAATGCTTCCAACCACATGGGGGGCTTCTATAGGCCATTGCTCCCCCTTGCCTCTCTGAGGGGGGAGGGGGCAGGTTCTGGCCGTTGTCCCCGGTAGGCCCAAAGAACTCCATACACACACAACTGATGCCTAAGTCGGACATTAGCATATCAACCTGGATAGCTCCGGGGAGCCGAAGAGGCTCCCCCCCCCCCCACCCACCCAGAAAAAGAGCTTAGAAGAAGAGTAAAAATCTCAACGCTCCAGGACACCAACCACAATTATGGTGGGGTGCCAACTCCAGGGTATTCAGGCTGGTCCAGCACTGCAACACCACAATGGAAAAAAACACCTGCAAAGAAGCAGCTGCCTAAAGATATCTCTCCCCAGCATATGGACCAAACACAATGACAGCTCACATCTGTAATCAGAGTGGCCAAGGAATGTAAGCAAACCAAAAGGCAGCAGTGGAGGCACAAGGAGGCAAACGGCAAGACAATAAGCATAAACATCCTGAAAAAACCAGCATATGGCAAGGAGCAAGGTTCAGTGGGAAGGTCTATAGCCAATCCATATCACTGAGACTTGCAGGGGATTTAAGTGCCAACAGGACAATCCTGACAGGAACACCAGGCATGGGGAATGTTCACCAATCGAGCACCTAACTCGGTTAAAGAAATGCACAGCTGAGGAAGGCACAAGCAGCGTGGAGCAGGTCTAGCACACATACACCCTGTGTCAAGGCAAGAAAGCTGGAACACAGTCAGACAAATTGACCCAAGGCCAACCATGAGAAAGAATTAATGAGGCAGTGTACTCTACAATACCCTAAACAAAATTTGTTATGCAACAGCCAAAGAATCAGCAAAAGCAGCCTGTGACAAACAGAGAAGAAAAAACTCTAGATGCTCAACTGAACATCCAGGTGATTTCATAGCGGTACTCAGATGAAATCACCCACAGACTGGTGTATATAGGTACCCTCTACATTAAGTTTCATAACATATTGCATTATATTATATATATATATATATATATATATATATATATATATATATATATATATATATATAGTACCTAGTAGCCAGAATGCACTTCTCAGCCTACTATGCAAGGCCCAATTTGCCTAATAAGCCAAGTTTTCCTGAATTAATATATTTTCTCTAATTTTTTTCTTATGAAAAGATAAAGCTACCAATTTCATTATGTATGAGATCAATTTTTTTTTTATTGGAGTTAAAATTAACGTAGATATATGACCGAACCTAACCAACCCTACCTAACCTAACCTATCTTTATAGGTTAGGTTAGGTTAGGTAGCCGAAAAAGTTAGGTTAGGTAGGTTAGGTTGTCGAAAAACAATTAATTCATGAAAACTTGGCTTATTAGGCAAATCGGGCCTTGCATAGTAGGCTGAGAAGTGCGTTCTGGCTACTAAGTACGACATTATATATATATATATATATATATATATATATATATATATGTCGTACTTAGTAGCCAGAACGCACTTCTCAGCCTACTATGCAAGGCCCGATTTGCCTAATAAGCCAAGTTTTCATGAATTAATTGTTTTTCGACAACCTAACCTACCTAACCTAACTTTTTCGGCTACCTAACCTAACCTAACCTATAAAGATAGGTTAGGTTAGGTAGGGTTGGTTAGGTTCGGTCATATATCTACGTTAATTTTAACTCCAATAAAAAAAAAAATTGATCTCATACATAATGAAATTGGTAGCTTTATCTTTTCATAAGAAAAAAATTAGAGAAAATATATTAATTCAGGAAAACTTGGCTTATTAGGCAAATTGGGCCTTGCATAGTAGGCTGAGAAGTGCATTCTGGCTACTAGGTACTATATATATATATATATATATATATATATATATATATATATATATATATATATATATATATATATATATATATATATATATATATATATATATATGTATATTACTGCTTGTGTTTATAACACATGCTCAGAGCAAGGCATACACCCAAGACACAGGTCCCTATGCACCACCAATACAACACTGAGACTCAAGATGAACTAGACACACTCAAGGCGGTGCTACTCAACTTCAGAGGAGATGTTTATCGTAGCCAAAGACTGTCGATAAAATAATGCCAAGGAATAAACGAACAAAGTGCAAACTGCCAGGCGATAAGTGAGATTGCTGCCTCTTCCAATTGTGTTGTGGTGGTGGTGCTGCCATCTGGTGGTGGTCAGAGTAGTAGCTGATTGCCCAGTCATCTCTTACAAAAATGATAATTTACATTATTTGATTTCAATTATTGTTTGGAGTCTAATGTTCAGTCTAATGTTCTATTTTTTTGTATGTCAAGGAGATAGTGTTCTCGGTGGTAGTACCTCAACTTGGTACCTAACGTTTGATTCCCAACAACATAGCCAGACTATTTGGACTGTTATTTCTCATGGTGGGCGAACTGGCAGAGCCGGGAGGGAAGAATGCTTCAGTCTGTGAACCCATATTGGCTGGTGGATCAAGGAAGCAACCGAGAGGCTTTAGCTCATGCTATTACTACAGCAAATGCATATATAAATTTCAAAAGTGTGAGAATTATAAATGCAGATTTTTAACTATATATAACTTACCTTGGCAATCAAAGAATTCCTCCTCACTTCCTGATGTATCAGAATCCCTTCTAATACTCTCCATTCTCCAGTTTGCTATCAGATATGGAACAATAATAAAGTAAGTTAATAAAATATCTGGTTTATTATCTGGGATATTGACTATATAGTACTGTATATATAAAATATGTTTAACATTTTAAAGCACAATATTTAAACTTCCTATTACTCTTACCTTGGTTTTGGGAATTTAATGTGTTTCTAGAACCACTTCTTGACCACGACCCTCTCTTTCTGGTTTCGTCTGTGAGAACACTATCCATGCTAACATTTAATTCTCGTCTTTGAAGCCTCGGACTTGAACCTGACAACCGCCCATTTTCTTCACCTTCTACATTGTTATTGTTATTATTATTATTTACAATACCCTTTACTACTGTTTCTTCGTCATCACAAATAACATGAGACTGTTCACCTAAATCATTACTAGTCCTAAATGAGCTGTATTTGCTCAATTTTTCTAGATTAGGAGTTCGATCTGATGACACACTTGGGCTCTGAGGAATGTCTGCTCCAGCTTCTGGAGTAGCACTATCATCTTCACCTTCCTGCTCATCATCACCCATTGGTCCATATTTCTTAGCAAGCAACTTCTGAGTTTCATTTTCAATATTGCGTATGTCTTCAATTGTGAGTCCCCACCACTCGTCCATCCATGCCCAAGCTTGACGATGAGCTCGGAGCATTGTCTTTCTCAAAGCTGCAAATGGGACACAGAAACATAATTTATATTTAATTTATAATGAATAAATAGAACTTTCTCAAACTATATTCCAATTTAAAAGACTAAGTACTACAGTCTAGAGACAGTGAAAGTTAATGAAGAAAACTGGTAGAGAATGGGAGTTTCAATTGATTCATGAACAATGCACATTAAGGATATTATTACTGTTGAGGTGAAAACATGGAACAACCACTGTAGGTGCTGCGAGGTATTGTGTCCCTCTAGCTCCAACCCTCTATTTTTTAATATGCTAATGCAAGGCTTTTAAATTCATTTACCTGGACCTGTTCCACATCAGTTTAAAGTTCTCACCCGAGTGTTCACAATAACCTCCAGTGCTGCGTTTAGGCCGGAAGAGAAACAATCTTCGTCCACATGGTTTATTGTCAACAATGATGTCACAGGTATACGTTACATAGCTTACTATTTACAACATTTTAAAGAAAGGAGCATCTCTCAAAACATGCTACACTTAAAGTCTGTAGTATTTAACCCTTAAACTGTGCAACACGCCATATGAAGGGTTGAGTAACTTGCAATAAATTGCACGTGATGGAGTACTACGGAAGATTTAAATGGCCTGAGGATATACAGGGTTAACCTCACCTTCATCAGGGCTCTTGTAAACAGACGCCATTTTTTTTTAAATTGTGGGCCAAATTCTCGGGAGTGAGGGGCTCAGTAGTGAGTGAGCCACCAAGGCTGGCGCACGCAGCATGAGCTCACAGCACTGCTGTTCAGCGTGTGACCCACAGCATCGCCTAAAAATGCTATTATATATATGTTCATGCTATTATTTAGCGAAGATAGTATTGTAACGGTTCTATTGTTACGTAAAGTATGGTGACGTAAATGGTGACGTAAAACATGGTGACGTACAGTATCTCGCAAGTGTCTGCTCTAGACCACACTTGAAAGTAGACTCTTGTTAATGTTTGCTATTCTGCTGCTTATATGCTCGGGCAACACCTCACCGTGTTGCCCGGGCAACGCCTCACCTCATTCATCTCCAAAGGTTGACAGGAATATTAACAATGCATTTGGAGCGAGTATATTATTGGGATAATCTACTCGCTACAGTATTACAGAAGACCCCTGACTGTGATCAAAATGACCAGGATTCTGATAATACCAGGATTGTTGTGATAATTAGCGCTGTAGTGGGAGGAGTAATCTTGGCGGGGAGGGAGGTAGCATTGTCTGCTGACTCTGTGTGACCACCTTTTACTGTCTGGACTCACTATACCAGCTTAGTTGTTCACTATGGTAAGCAAAACATGCAGATACTTATATATAATGTCTGTATATAGTGGATAAAAGCAAAAACAGTATGGTGGGAGGAGAATGGTGGCGAGTCAGGTGAGGTGAGGAGAGGGGAGGGAGCGAGTGACAGCCAGTGACAGGCTGCCACTGCCACTGCCACTCAGCATACCAACTTAGTGGTTCGTTATGGAGAACACAAATGTAGATACTTATATATATAACATATATATATATAGTTTAATAACAGCAAAAGGAGTGTTGGGGGGAGAAGCCATTTTGGTGAGGGAGGTGGCGACATCTGCATGATTTGTCATGCATGATTTGTCAGGAGGCCTGGTCGACGACCGGGCCGCGGGGACACTAAGCCCCGGAAGCACCTCAAGGTAGCCTCAAGGTTGGTAGGGGTGGCCACTATGCTCTTTGGGCACTATACCAGCTTAGTTGAACAGTTATGATGAACAAAACATGTAAATACTTATATATAATGTGTGTATATAGGGTAATAACACCACAAACAGTATTGTTGGGGGAGAAATTTTAGTGCGTCTGACCTTGAATGAGTGAGGGAGGCGGCCGCTAGCTGACTCTGTGTAGTGACGTCTCTTAGTGCCTGAACTAACTATATCAGTTTAGTTGTACAGTTGTGGTGAACAAAACATGTAGATACTTATATATAACGTCTGTATATAGTGAATAAAAGCAAAAACAGAATGGTGGGAGGAGAATGTGGGCGAGTGAGGTGCTGAAGGAGTGAGTGGCAGGAGTGGCTGGCTGGTGTGTGGTGGTCACTCCTCGTTGCTTTTTGACTCATAATACCAACTTGGTGGTTCGTTATGGTGAACAAAACATGCAGATTCTTATATATAACCTGTGTATAGAGTGTAATAACCGACAAAGTATTTGTTCACTGTTTGATGAACATAATTGAATCAACAATATGCACACCATAATTTTGAGTACAACGATGATTCACACATTTTATTATATAAATATATCACAATACACACTATTTAATAATATTTACAGCAAAAAAACTACAAAAAATCAATCAGAGACATTGAAATAATTAGGCAATTATCTCTCTGTGGCCACTCCTGCCTGACATCTGGGGCGGAGCAGACCTCCTGGGACGCATGATGAATCAGCGCCTCTTTTTTTTTTTTGCCAGACTTCCCCGTCCTATAGCGGGCAAAATATGCCACTTACGGTTTTTTATTTTTTTTCCATGATCAGAGAACACAAATTATTAGAGGATTTAGAAGAATTTTTTTTTTTTTTATGTGCCTGTGGGTGACAATGGCCAAATAGCCCTTAGCAACACAAGGGTTAATCCTAACAACCAGTCTCATGTGTGAAATACTATGTGAACAATTCCAAATTGATTGTGCAAAATGAAGTTTTCAGAGAACCAGACACAATACCAATTCCAGAAAACACCATATAGTACACAGAGGTTTCTCAAGAAGATGTGGACAAATTACTCAAGGAGCTAGGAAGAAATAAAGCAGTTGGACCAGATAGAGTTTCACCTTTGATTCTGAGAGAGAATGTGCACTTGAGCTGAGCATTCCATTTCAGTTGATATTGCAGACATCTTTTCATACAGGAATCTTAGTAAAGAAATATGTAAAAAGGCAAACATAGTGTATCAAATGATTACATGTACAATACAGTATTTGGTTGATTAGATACACAGAGTTTAGTGGTTTTTATATTTATTTAGTAGTCTTGGTTACAGCAGTCGGTTTGTTAGAAGTGTAGTGAAGTGTTGTGGGAGTGGAGACGAAGCCTGGAGCAGGGCAGAGAGCTTGGATGCGGGGTGAGAGTCGTAGAACGCAGTGCTCTGAATGCAGGCAGATTCGAGGAGTTCAGTGCAGGACAAGAGCGTGGCAGCTCGATTCTGCCGGATTCTAGTTGACTGCTCTGTGTCAAAGTTGAAACTTCTTTGAGTCAGAAGGAACTGGACACACCGAATGCTACATTGTTGTTGGTGAATACTGAAGATGTGTGGTATCCTTTAAGTGTCTGTACTGAACCACTCTTGAAGGTAGACTAATGATTATTTGCTATCGATTGCTTATATAACTGGTCCACACCTCACCGTCCTATAGCAGGTTATGAGGAAGTATTAACTGTAAATTGGGAAGAGGTATGAATTCATAATTAGTGGACTAAGTAGAATTAAGAAACCCATCTCATTATCTGCACATAAGCTAATGAGAGTTTGCAGCAAGTATATTACTGACATAATATATTTGCTACATAACTCCCCTTCTTATGGAATGAAAGAAGAGACATAAAACAAAATTGTACATTTACAATTTGCACCGTTAAAAGGATAGGATATGGGCACCATATAACCGCTGCATATTTAAGCTTTGGTCTAACAAAAGTCGTGAACAATTTCTTTAGAATTTTGCTGTCCATGTATATAAAAGCAATTCTGAAGTTAAAAGTGTAGCATAGGCTCCTCCCACGATATTCTTTATGTGGTCCTCAGGTGATAGTTTTCTATCTAGAACCACCCCTAGACCTCTTTCTTTATCAGAATTGTTTAAAGATTTCTCACATAATTTATAGGTTGTGTGGGATCTATGTTCTCCTATTCCACATTCCATAACATGGCATTTATTTGCATTATATTCTATTTGCCAAGTGGTGCTCCATATACTTTCAAAAATTCAAATTCAAAATGTTTATTCAGGTAAAGTACATACATACAAGGTGTGATACAAATATTGATGAATTTATAGATAGAGCTAGTACATACAATGCCTAAAGCCACTATTACGCAAAGCGTTTCGGGCAGGAAAAACACCATAGACTAAAACTTAATACTAATTGAGATTAGAGTATAAAATGTGTTGGGAAAATATAAAAATAAAAAAGGGGAGGGAACAAGGCAGAAAAACAGCAAAAAACCAGGGATGAACGCAATGAAACGCCATTTTCTGGGTGAGCCCCGGAGGCTCCCTGGAGCTTATCGGGCTAATGTGTTTTATATTAGACCGAGACATTAGCTATGGAGTTCAGACCTACCAGGGATCAGCGCCAGAACCTGGCCCCTTCAGAGGAGTTTCAGGGAGCAATGGCCCTGGAAAACCCCCTTGTCGTTGCGGTTTTCCTTATCTGCCATCGACTGGAGCCAGGCACCCAGAGAGGTAGGCATAACAAAACAAACCCCACATGGTAAAAAAATAAAAGAAAAACCGAACAGAGAGGTAGAAACTCCCTACAATCCCAAGGAAACAAGCAAACATCACACTTTACTGCGGCTCCGGACCTACCTCGCCGGCTGCCTAGCATCAGTTCAAAAGCTAAGCTTCAACCAATGCGAAAAAACCGCCGACCGGTGGGAGGGAGGGTTACCAAGGAGCCTCTGGGGCTCACCCAGAAAATGGCGTTTCATTATCTTGAGGTTATCTTGAGATAATTTCGGGGTTTTAGTGTCCCCGCGGGCCGGTCCTCGACCAGGCCTTCACCCCCAGGAAGCAGCCCATGACAGCTGACTAACACCTAGGTGCCTATTTTACTGCTAGGTAACAGGGGCATAGGGTGAAAGAAACTCTGCCCATTGTTTCTCGCCGACGCCTGGGATTAAACCCAGGACCACAGGATCACAAGTCCAGTGTGCTGTCCGCTCGGCCGACCGGCTCCATTACATTCAACGCTGGTTTTCTGTGGGGAGCCCTTATGGCTCCCTGGAGCTTCAT